TATGTATCATCCATCGTATCTATCATCATCATCGTATATATCATCATCCTCGAGGATGACACGTTTTCGACATCAATTTTTTGCAACGTTGGGAATGTGTCATCCTCGAGGATCAGAAAGCACGTAAAGCCATCGTTCCTACTGATCGTTATATCGGTCGTATAGAATTTTCGTCCTACCGAGGTTTGAGAGTGGAAGGAATAAAGTGCACTTGTGTCTGCGCATCAACGAACGTTGGGAATGCATTTAGGCATACAACCTGCATACATATAGGTGGTTATGTGGGACTCACCGGCAAAGCCACACGACCGACGACGGCAGGTCTGCCGAAGCAGACCACAACAAACATGGGGTTGCTCCAAGGTTCACTCTGCTATCAAAGAAGTACCAGGAGCAACCCGCATGGTACACCGCCCCCCGAAATGGGCTACCTCCCAGTGCGTTTCTTGGCTTTGCGTCCGGCTGTATTGCCAGAGGCTACTGAGACCCCTACCACGATAAGTCGATGAGGTGGCACGTTGGGGGAGATTGTCGACATCCTTACGTGGGTTGTTACTAAGAATTTTTTGATGGAAAAAACATAATAACTATATTAAGTCTGACCCAGGTCTCGAACCCATAACCTCTGTATCTATAGGTATGTATACCTATATAACCACTAGACTGAGGCATTGTCATACATAAATTATTATACAATAATAAATATTTTCTGGAAAATCTTCTTGCAATCGACATTATTGCCGATACAGAGGCCGAATCTACCTTTAGTTTTTAGAATTTTTGTCTGTCTGTCTGTTACCGCATCACGAAAAAACCACTGGAGGGATTTTGATGATATTTGGTATGGCTGGTTATTCAGGTCAACATATAGGTTACTTTTTACTGCGGAAATATCTCATCTCTGAGAAATCTGTTCTAAACGTTAAAACGTATGTAGGGATGAACCTGAGCAGAGCGAGGATGAGTCACTAGTTTACTTATTTATTCAATTCAGTTCTCTTGTTAATGGCTTCAAAGCGTGCCAGTTGAGCACAGATTACTTCGCCAATGTCACGTAGAATGGAGAAGATTTATATTTTTATCTAAACTAGCAATATTATGCTGTCATCTTACTTCTACTACAAGATGACACATACAATAGTTGTAATCGCTCGAATAAACTCTGAGATCTTAATAATATTTCTTTACTCTGTAAAAAACTAACGAATGTCAATACAGACAATTTTAGAATAATTTGTTTATGCACACGCAATGCAACTTGGTTTTCTATTATAAAAACGGTGAATTTAAATCTATACAGATAAATAAAATTGAAGTGTCTGTTTGTAATGTCAAAATAACATTTTTTTACTAAATGCATTTGAAAGTATTTACGGTACATATGGCTAGGTTTGTTTTTCTGGCTAATCTCCGAAACGACTGGACCGATTTTAAAGGGACTTTCACTGGCAACGATAGCTGTCGTTATAAGGAGTAACTTAGTCACATTTATTTTAGAAAAATAATTAAGATACCATTCAAAAAAACTGAAACGAATGTAATGTAAGTCGCTAGTTTGTTCTAAATTTCTACAATGTATTTACCTTTTTTACTAGATAAGTACTAAAGGGGCTCGAATATTTTTCTATAAAAGCCGGTATTAGCCAACTCACGTGGGTTTTTTTTAAGTAGTATACTATCTAGTTCCATGGTAAGCTCGTAGCTTGTGTTATGGATACCAGATAGTTGATACACTACACATATATAACTTTAAATACATACATATAATAAATATCAATACTCATGACTACATACATTCGTGCTCATCACACAAACGAATTCCCCCAGCGGGACTCGAACCCGCGACCACTGGCACAGCAAGTAGGGTCACTACAAACTGAGCCAAACGTGTCGTCGTGTGATATGTGAAGAGGTCACTACTAACGGTGAATCCCAATAACCTATCTGTGGATCATCTTACTAGAGATAGTCGATACATATTTAAAGTAATTTCTATGGAGTTTATTAGAATGTCAGAAGATTGTCAGAAGAATCATCGTGACTAAGATAAATAAGAGAAATATAAGATTACTGTTTTGAACAATTATTAGAATACGAGGTAAGAGAACTAGTTCAGTTTTAATAGTAGTAGTGATAGTTTTATGTCGATCTTGGCCATCAAATATTCCATAAATATAACACTTTAGAGCCTATTATTTTTGATGTTTTTCATTATATAATAGTTTTCTATCCAAATATACCGGTTTAGTTGTGTGTCGCAAGCTTAAAGTAACTTAAACATATATTTTAGAAAAAGTAAAAGTGGCGAGATGTTCCCAATGCTATTTTTATTCCCTTATTACATAGAAAAATATGATTTTCTAGAAATGTTAGCGATTATATTATATATTTATATAAATTTCTTATTTTTAATAGATATTTAATTGTTAAATATAAAAACCGTCAAAATCTGACTACTTGGTTAAAAGTTATGAACATACATAAAAATATACATACGTATAATGTTTTTTTTATATTAATGTACATAATATATCTGATATATTATGTTCCCTGTTAAAGTAGAGCAGTACTAAGATACATATATTTTGAGAAATATATAAATATGTAGAAAATTAGCTTTAAAATTGTTTACTAAACGTTTTACGTAACCATAGAAAGCTAGCCACGTACAAAACATAGATTTAAATATAGCCGGATCAAACCATAATTCTTAGACCCATAAACTAGGGCTCGAACACAACAATCTAATAGTTTTATAACTTGTAATCAATTTGCACTTTCCTTGCCTTCGATGGTGAAAATATGCTCAATCATAAGTAGCCTGGTTTGTAGCTATTTCTTATTGTTACGATTTGAGGACTTAGCATTGATATAAATTTAATTTCTATTCGGGCATTCTAATATTTATACTAGTATTTGTCTCCGACTCCACTCGCATAATTTATTTATTATTGCTCCGCTCTTTATGTTCGTGGCGTGATGTTAGATAAAATGGTACTTCTTTCATCAATAAATAGACATTTTTCTATTGGAAGTGATAGTTCCAGAGTTTAGCGCTCAAGACCCATATAGATATACTTAAAAAACTTAATATATACTAAATTTGATCCAAATCGTTAGAGCCGTTTCTAAGACACATGAAATAAAATTATATATAACTAGCGCCTCCCCCTGGCTTCGCTCGTGTTCGTCTCTAGGTACGTTTTAACGGTTAGTATGGAATAGATAGACTATATTATATAACGTGTTTTCCCGTAGGAATGAGATAATCTCCCGCGGTAAAAAGTATGTCCACACAAAAAACCACACCAATTCGTCATTCCGTTTCGACGTGAAAGAAGGACAAACAAACAAACAGACACACTTTCTTTATAATATTAGTATGGAAGTACGGATATACAAGAACTGCTTGTTTAATATTATAATATAACTGTTAGATAATTGCGTCATTATCGTCATAATGGGACATTCTTGAGAGAGTGAATATTTTTGCCATACAATCTCACAATTAAGTCAACCAATCCGTTGATAATCGTGGGAACAGTATTATATGATTTTTGCTATGTGAGATATCAAAAAAAGGCTAAAACTGTAAACTTTTTGCGAAAATTATAATTTTAAATTCAATATAATACACAGGTTATTGATGTGAATTTGACAAATATTGTATTATTAAAAAGTAAAGAGTGAACCAATTAGCCTATATATTAATCCATTTTATTTATATTTAAACTTTTATAGTATACTAGCGGCTCACCCTCGCTTCGCTCGGGTTTGTCGCTAGGTACGTTTATAATATATATAAATAGTTAGTAGCCTTTCGTTAATTTTTCATTTTTTCTCTTATTAAAACCTTCCGTGGACCTTAAGGAACATATGAAAAAAAAATTAGCCGAATTGGTCCAGCCATTCTTGAGTTATGCGCTTACCAACATTCATTTTTATTTATTTATACTAATATTATAAAGAGGTAAAGTTTGTGAATTTGTGGGTTTTTGAGTTTGTGACTTTTTGACGTTGTAGGGGGTAATCTCCGGATCTACTCCACCGATTTAGATGAAATTCAATTAAAAGATAGTTTGAAACCCTGGTAAGGACATAGGGTACTTTTTATCTCAGAAATCATCCCTTAAGGGGGTGAAAATAAGGATGAAAGTTCGTATTAGGAAGCAACCTAGGGACGAACCCGAGCGAAGCGAGGGTGAGTCGCTAGTATAGATAGAAGAAGATTAACGACTTGCCGTCGGGTTGTGTCACTACATACATACCTTTTATTACACATACAGACAAACTTTTGCATGTATAATGAGGGCTCTTAAGCGTATGTTAAAAAAGGTAAACAACACATTGTATCTCCAATATAAATGTAATAAAATTTCAAAACATATAATACTAGCGATTAATAAAAATAGTAATTGCGAGTGAACCTTAGGAGATAGACATATACTATGACGAACTTTTGTGTAGGTCTTTTTAAGGCCTACTATTTTTTTGTATAATATTCAAATTTCTAAAGACACTCGGCAGAACCAGTCATTGTTTTCCAGCGGAAATAAAAGTTTTTCCTGCATTTAACTGTATCCTCAACGTAGACAAGAGTAATAAGTTACCAATACACAAAAATTTGTTTATATTGCATGACATGCACACAACAGACAAACAGACATACACCCAAAATTTTCAATCACTATAGTTTTGTGTCTATATTCTATACACAATACGTAACTATGATTGTTTTTAAAAAATATTTCAAGTAGTTTTTTTATTATATATGCATATTTTATGTAAATGTTTAAAGAAATAATTATTATTCTAAGAACCGTACCTCGTATGCGTCCGACCTAGACCTAAGACCCCTGAGGAAAAATGATAATAGCTAGAGAAAGCTTCGAATACTCAAATGCAAATGGAGCAACGGAAAATAAATGAAATCTTTTTGTATGTTAATATACGAGACACACTTATGAAATACCTATGCAAATAAATAGAGAAAGCTTCAAATGGTAATTACAAAAAATCCTTTATAAACAAACATACTTTTCATAGCGCCAAATTTTAGTAACTATGTTGAGCATTTCTAGCATCTCGCTTAAAAGCTCCAAACAACTTAATTAACGTGTTAAATTGTTTTTCCATTCCAAGTGTTTAGTTTACATATTTTTTTGAATAGAGTACAATAGTTTTTAACTTCGACAAAAATATTTGTACCTACAGTGCATTTCGATCGTCGTCGTCGTCCGACTTCAGTTTTTCACTGCTTTCAGTGTAAATCAGTAACATACATACATACACACGATCAAAATTATAAACCTAAATTTTTCATTTCAGATAACAATAGCAACATCACTCACGCATGCAGATAACCACGCACATGAGCTATCAGAGACGAGGACGGACAGACGAATATCGAAACGTGATGCCGCCATTTTTATCGATAGCTTCCCAATAGAACCAATCTACAAACACCGCCCAAAAATAATTTATAGAAGAATATCTAAGCAAAGGTATAAAAGCCCAAAGCCTAAGTACGGCCCACCTATATACTATAGAAATAAGTCGAGAAAGCCTATAAAGAAATACAAAAGCAATCCAAAACCGAAATATGGCCCACCTAGCTATAAAAGACGTCCCATGAAACCGAAGTACGGTCCACCTAAGTTAAAATATAAGTCAGCTTATGGCCCACCTAAAAAAATACCAGTCAGCTATTTTTCTCAAGAACCTACAGGATTTGGAGAACCTCCTGCAGACGTGGAACCTGATTTTCCAACAAAGCAAAACTTCGGGGAACCTCCATTAGATTCTTATGGTTCTCCTGTTAATGCAGATGCTATAGATCCTTATATACCAGATCAGTACTCCCCATCATCATATTCAGATTCACCGACTTTCGAAAATTTAGACGAAAACTTTGGCCAAGACTTCAGACCTTGGCAAAATTTCCAAGAACAAAATTACAATAATAATATTGCATATTCTAAAAAACGTCCTGTATTCGTTAAACCTGATCCTTATGATACAGATGAAGATTTTGATTTAAATCCTTACTCTAATATTCAAAAGTATAATGAAAATTTCGATGAAGAACCTATAGAAAGAAAGAGAAGGCCTTATTATTTGAGTGAGACTATTAAATTGAAATCACGAAGACGTAAACCAGCTCCCGAGCCAGATGATGAAGTATTAGTTGGAGGTCGTTATGCAGAACCGCCAGCTAGGTTTGTTCCAAAATATCAACAAACCGATTCATTACATTCAGATAACGATGATTTTGAACCATTAAAAGGGTTCATAGATCCTGATGTTGCTATATCAGCAACTATGTCGCCTTACGTAAACTATAAACATAGTAATGTAGCTTTCAGCCCACAGAATTTAAACGATGCATTTAGTATAGTTGATAAGTAATATATGTATGTATTTCATTTATAGCTTAAATTTATATTTAGTAATTTATTTTTTCTATTCTATTTTCTTTGGTATTGGTACAAAGACAAGTATGTAGATCTCAAATATATAAAACCTGTTTTTGTATTAAAGTTATATCATACATGAAGCACAATTTTAAAAATTGAATCAGTGTAGTACACCTGTTTGTAATTTTTGGGAAAGCAACAGTAATTAACAATAATAATCAATGCAAAGGAAATAAAAGTAACAGAAGTTCTATGTATTATTTAATTATAACGACAAACCCAATAATTTAAAATTAGTATTACCTAAAACCCATATTCCTAAATAAGTAAAATGTTAAAACATTTAAATAGCACAAAATCAATAGAAGAAAATGGTGATTTTTTTCAAAGTATTAAAAAAGTATTACAAAGAAAAATATCTATCAACTAAAGGATTCAGAAGCTTAATAATGAACCTATTTTATCAAAAATCTTATCTTCAATGTCTTAATAAAACTAAAAAACACAGTACACGTCACGTATCTAAAGTCTAATATTTCTTATACAACATATATTATAGAGCTTTCGTTATCATAAAAATTATAATTAATCCATTTATTGAAAGTATGAGAAAACGTTAAACACGTTTTTATGGATTTTAGTTTACCAACATCATCATCATCAAATCATTCTCGAAATCATGTCTACTATATTTTGATCAAGTCAAGATGTAGATGTACAAGTACATTTCAGAGTGAAGATGTAGTAACAAGAGTAGTATTTTAATTATACTTATGTTTCATCTTTGGCTCTCGCCAACAACTTTTTGGTCTCTTACTTTAGCTTGCTTTCTATCAATTAAATTTCTTCGTGTCAACCGTCGTTTCCTCCTTGCATTGCCACAAGCTGCTCTTGCAGCTTCACATGCTTGATGAGCTGCTTGCTTTGTAGCAGCACATTCTGCGCAAGCACATTGTAATTTATGTTGAAGATGAGCCAATCTTGACCGAGATTCGGCAAGATTATGGCATTTTTCTTGCAAGCCATATTTAACTTTATCTAATACACAATGTGCTGCCTTTTCCAACTGAGCTGAGATTTGAACTGATTGCATCATTAGTTTGTGCTGCCAAAAGAGCAAAAATAAAAAGTTAATACAAATTCAAAATAAAATTTATTGAACTTGAAAAAAATGTTATTCTTTTCCTTCACAAAAAGTAATCATCAAGACATGTTTTAACAAATATAGAAGTACAAGATAAAATATCTACTGCAACTAAGAATGTATCTAACGACATACAAATCATGTTATAAATATTTTCACAATCTTCAAACGTATTCTGATCTTGTCACCAAATCCCCTTTTCCAATCAATTCCTTTAAGAAAAAAGCAAAGTTTTACGAAGTGTTTAATTTTATTTAGATGTCTTCAACAATTACTACCTAAAGTTTAACATGAAATTTTAACCATAAAATTTTAGTTTCGTAAAACTTGCGATTATCTGTACGATTGGGAAAGAATTGTTGAAGATTATTTTAATTTCGTTAAAACATGATAAAACTCTTTGACTAATAACTTTTATTTGTTACGATCTGTATAATATAATCTGTGCCCGGCCACTCTTAACTAAGGCCGTTGGATTTGAAGATTTAGTGATTGATATAATAATAATGAAGAGGATCAGGAACTGCCTGATTTAAGACGCGGCGGCAAATCTTACGGTGACACAAGTGTACGGAGTACCTCTAGATCTGCAGCCGCGCATGCTAGCCACTAGACCACCGAGAGTTTAATGATATACTGTATATATTTACCTGTGCCGTTGCTTGCTGAGCAGCTTGTACGGCAGCATTCACAGCTGCTTGCTGTTGATGTACCGCTGCAGTATTCTCAGCAACGACGGCCTCCGCCTCCTTCACCTCTTGTTGGAGTTGTTCTACGACAGCTTGTTTACCAGCTAGCGCTGCTTCAGCGGCTTTGGCTGCTTGAAGAGCTTTTTCCGCTAGTTGGGTTTTAACCTGCAAAACGTACAATAATATAATATATTTTAATGAAAATCTAAAAATTATTTATATTAAGCATCAAATCTAGCTTTTAAGTACACTTACCTATTAACCACAAATCATATTATTATCTATTAAGTAAATAGTAAGTATAAAGATCTATCTTTACCATATGAGCTGCTTGCGCTCCTGCAGCATTTTGTGCAGCCTGAGCAGCCTTCGCTTCAGCGGCTGCTTTTTGAGCAATACTCGATGCGGACTTGGCTTTACAATCACGAGCTGTTTCTCTTACTTTATTATCTTTCTTTTGTAATTCATTATTGTTAGGTAACTGCTTATCCGATGTTCTTTGTTCTGCTGGATATCCTTGGACTGATACCAACAGCGATAGAATAAGTAATGCCCAAAGTTTCATTACACCTTACCTCCTGATAAATATTTAGTGGCAATAGCGAATTGCCTCAGAAAATCTTGTACGTCACCTACATAAGTAATAGTTTTCACGAAGTGTTGACGAAGAAATATTTTGTAAATTTAGTAACAAATCACTATCTGGTGATCTGCAAAATGACGTTAATGACTGGCATGTTCTAAATTGAAATAAAGATTTACGTCAAACATATCATTCAAAGGATAGAAGAAGGTAGACATAGAAGGAAGTAGTCAGCTGTAGTACCAGATACGGACCATGTTAAATAGACAAAATGAGTTTCATCCATTATAATTATCCTCTAATTTACATGAATTGAGTTTTTAAAAATCTAAATTAAATACAATATAATCATCTTATTTTTTTATTATATTCGATACGAAAAATTGTCTATAATACTTAATTCTGGTACTCGGAGAATAGAAGAAAATTTTAATTTAAATATTGTCAACGTTTGTCATTCAGTTTGTCATGTAATAATTTTGTGCAAAAATATATATTCTTACATTCCAGAGAATCCCTTGAAAGTATGAGTTTCTGTAAAACACGGCGTGGATGTGGTTCAATAGTCACATTTTAGAGGTATTTTATAAGTCTTTATTGTTTAAAAACATAAAATCCAACAAGAACTCTATAATATATTACTTCAATTTATTGCTTCAATTAATTATCCGGTAACAATACCTAAGACAAAAAGTCAATCTAAAGTCTAATTAAATTTGAATTTTCAGGTCCAGGAGCAAATCTCTCTTTCATAAAGTCAGAAGTGCAAAGGATATTTTACTGAAGATCGTGAAAGATGATTTGCCTCTCATTGTACGCCCTTATCGCTTCAGCCACATTCCTCGCGTGCGTGCCCGTCTGCTACCGCCAATTTGAGATGCAAAAGTTTATCAAGTGCCTTAAAAAATAGGGATTTTCTAATATGCTCATTTGCATGACTTTCATCACAGCTTTCGTCGCGGCCAGTTGCATAACATGTGGCCCAATACTTTTGGAAACTTATCTCAAAGAATCAAAATACCAAGCTGAATCCGTGGAACCTTGCCAAAGCACGTGCTGCTCTAAATGATGTAATCCTAAAAATCGTCAAGTCCTGCCATAAATTTCCTTGCTATGTTTTATAACTGAATAAATACTTTGATAATAAATCTTTAATTTCATTTGTATTGGAAGCTTGAACAATGAGTAATAAAAATTATTCACTTTTGTATTTAAATAAATTTTATATTAATAATTGATCATCATTGTATATATGTACATACAGGCTATGCGATTATGACTTCAGACATATTATATATAAAACTCAGCAACTCACTAAAATATTTAGATAGTCTATCTCGCATCTGTGTTTTAAGAGAAGACGAATGGCATTTAAAAAAATCTTGCATATATTACATAGATTTTATCCTTTTTGCACTCAGGAATGGAGCAATGGATCGGTATTTTTGTGTAAAGTAAGGTGTAGACCGAAGAGTTCAATAGGATACCCCTTTTTTCAGTATGTGAGACATTTATACGTTATTGATTTAAGCTTATTATAGACACGCCTTAGCAAAGTGAGAGTCGGGTAGTACATGTTCTTAAAATATATTATTTTAAATCATATTTTTTTAAATTTATATATTAAACTAGCAGCACCCGCGGCTTGGCCCACGTTTAAGCTTCCGATCACTACCAAACTTCACTAATCTAAAGATTGCCTGGAAGTTTCATCAAAATCGCTCCAGCCGTTTTGGAGTCCACAGGGAATATACATACACAAATCGATTTATATATGTATATAAATAATGTTTATACCGCATTCAAAATTAAAAAGATTTTATAACACTTTACTATAATGACAGATCTTACGTAGAAATTTAAATTTAGAAGAAGATATATTATCAACTATAAAATTTCGGAGTGCTGTCAGATGTCATAAAGTGATAAATTATATATAATAATTCAAATAATCAATTTATATGCCAATATGAGCCTAAAATTATTGTGGAATTGTGCGAGAATAATCTTGTTATCAGGGTTATCTTTTGGAATTTAAAATTGTGATTAAAATATTAACTTCTGGGACGGGCGTAGGACACGTACGTTATGAATTATTATTATTTTTCCTCTATAAACGCCTAGAAAACTAAATTAGCAAGATGTAAATATAAAATATGGCTACGAATATATCTTTCATGCAATTTTTCTTTAATATCTTTTCAACTTTAAAAAAACCTGATGCGATTTCAATTGCAAATCAAATTGTATAATAATTATTTTCTTGATAAATTGATTGTACTATGTACTAGCTTGGTCTATATACATTTTAAAACGTCTCCTCTATGGGTGGGATCTTTCAAAACAAATTTATATATTTAGTTTAAATTGCTGTTACGTTATTATAATAGCTATTTATATATGTTATATTGGTACTGATATCTTACTTCTTACTAAATATTATAAATGCAAAAGTTTAGATGTTTGGATGGATGTTTGTTACTCGATCACACCAGAACGGCTGAACGGATCTGGGTGAAATTTGTCACGGAGATAGATTATAGACTGGAACAGCACATAGAAGCTGTTCTACATAGAATTGCAATGATATCATGCCTCTATTAAATTATGCCATATTACCACTATACAACTAACTTGACCATTATCTTCCAGGTTCCATCACTACGTTGGGTACAGCTTAGACTCATATGATTTGCGTGTCACTGCTAAGTCTCGTCAGTGCCGCAACTCTCATTATCTGTGTGCCCTACTGCACCCGAGGCATATTTACCCGAAAGTGCGCCTGCCCTACTGTGCCCATCTGCCCAGACTGTGGGATGCCCTATTAGCTCTACATTACCCTAAAACTTGACATACCTTTAATTATCTTCAGTAAGTGATCAGAGGTTTTGTTTTCGAGTTGCTTTATTAGTAAGATTGATGTTTTGTATGGTTTTAAAATGATTTGCATGACAGCAGCAACGGCGGTTGTGGCCATGAGCCTCATATCGTGTGGACCTTTAATATGTGAGAAAATTTTGCGTTGCTTCATAACATCTAAATCTAATCGGAAATCGAAATAGTATACTTATTCCTGTAAAATTCTGTAATAAACATCTCTTTTTTACTACTTTTGTGTTTTTTTTAACACTTGCGTTAAAATCGGACTACCACTATGAACGTGAAAGTGTGTATGTTTGTTATGTTGAGCTAAAACGGCTGCGTGGATTTGGATGAAATTTAGTAATTAGCACAGATACAAAAATGGATGAATGTGGACCTGGTACCTGAAACCTGGGATTTTTGGACCTAAAGTAACACATAGGCTACTATTAGGTATCCAGGGACGGACTTACAGAGGGTAAGTCACTAATAAATAAATATATTTAAATAAGTTATTCGTTGTATTGTTTCAGATATAACTAAAGGGATTTTGGTTTTATATAGTAATGATTTGCTTGTCCGCATGTACTGCCCTGGCAGCAGCCGGCATGATAGCGTTTGGGCCTATATTATGCGAGAAATTATGTAAATGTATGAAAATGAAAAAATCTAATAAATAATGCTTTGTTTCATTTATAATCAGTAATTATTAAATTATTTTAAAGTATGCCTAATTGTAATTATTGTTATATTTAAAATAAAAGGATGTTTCCGTTGAGTGAAACTTGATAACTTCAATATTTAAGGTACTTTTCTTCCATGTCCCATCCATTGTTCCACTCTGTATATAAATATAAATATGTTGGGACATTAACACACAGCACCATCTAGTTCCATGGTAAGCTAAGAGGCTTGTGTTATGGATACCAGACAGTTGATACACTACACATATATAAACTTTTAAATACATACATATTATAAATATAAACACCCATGACTGGAGTACAACATTTGTGCTCATCACACAATGAATGCCCCCAGCGGGACTCGAACCCGCGACCGCTGGTACAGCAAGTAGGGTTACTACAGACTGAGCCAAACGTGTCGTCAATCGTCGTATATCGTTTTATGATTTGTTGATTTCTAAAGTTGTGGATAGGCACTGTCTGAAAGTATATAACGCCTTTGAGACGTCTGATACCTTAAGACTCTCGTAAAGCATTCGTAACGTCGGGAACCAAAAATCAAAATAAATCCGCGAAATAATCCGAAAATATAATTTTATTTAAATATTACCAGTTAAAATATAAATAAAACACAAAATGAGGAAACAAGTTTATTTCTAAGCTAAAACATACACCGTAATATCACTTGACTGATTCAACTAAAGCTATTGAGCAAATACACCATCTTACAACACTCAATGTATATGTAATTCATGGCGTTTCCTGAATCACTACTAAATTTTATTACTAATAAGAATAATTATATTTTTCAAGTCACTACGAAATTAAAAAATATTTTTTTAATAAATAAATAATTAAATATGTTGGGACATTAACACACAGCACCATCTAGTTCCTTGGTAAGCTACGAAGCTTGTGTTATGGATACCAGACAGTTGATACATTATACATATATAACTTTAAATGTATACATATTATAAATATTATGTATATTCACTCCAATAATGTTTTAATGAAAGTTAAGTAACAGGTGGTAGATTTCCTTAGTGCTTATTTTTCTAACTAATTACAGCACTTTACAATACCACTTACTTAACAGTAATCGCATTTTACCGACTTTAAAGAGGAGGTAATCGGTTCAACATTTTTTTTTGTACGTACTACGCGTCAAGAATTGTTGTGAATCGATTTTTTTTAAAAGAAGCAAGTCCTATTTATAGTAATCATTTTTAGTAAAAAGTAATTCTATAAACACTGACTTTTTCGGTGGAACTTAATGTCACAAAATCACTATAGAGAAGAAGGTTTTCTTAATGATTTTGTTTACATTAACGTAACCCGTGCGTAGAAAAGGTTTCCCCATAGACATAGAGTATGGACTGAGCAATACTAGCATGAAATTGACAACACTCTAGAAAGAGAGAAAGCGAACGTGCGGCCAATATATAATCTGTCTTTTATTCTAATTTGATTTTATAAATGGGACGTAAAAAATGTGTGTGTGCAATTGACACACGGTATAAGTGAAACTTCAGAAAAGTAACCTATGAGAGAATGAAAATAATTTGTCAGACAATAACAACGGTTACCATGGCAACGTGGCAAAGTATCCTATCTCATTGTCTCGTTGTCTTAATCCTATATATTTGTGTTTGTCTCTTTTTTTCCGTTTTATGTCCGTTTAATCGAGTTTCAAATAACAACGATTCTAAAGAAGTTTCACTTCAAAATATAACACAGTGTGATAGAAAAAAATAGCTATAAATATTTATTTTTATCAACTGTATTTCAATTAATACAGAAGACTTCTGGCCGCACATTAGTTTTGTCTCTGTCTGTCTAGCAAAGAAACAGTCAGTCCAGTCTCTATGTCTATGGATTTCCCGAACAAATCGCTTATCCAACTCTAAACAGGTAGTAACTACGGCTGCCTTTGAGTCAAATCAAGTGGTCGATTGAACAATTGGGCGTAGTTATGGAAAATGAACCAGTCCACGAGAACCGTTTTTTGATTTACTGTCATAAAGGTATAAACAGAAACTAGATAAAAATACCCAATAAATAAGAAGAAATGCAAAAAAACTACGTTGTTTTATTTTGATATACAAATTTTACTAAAACTTCTATTTTCTCAAAAGTAAGTTTTTGTGGTTGGATCTATTTTGCATAACTACGTCTAATAATATAAATATTTTATATTTATAGTATAAATATTATAAATGTGAAAGTTTGTGATTATGTATGGATGTTTGTTACTCTTTTACGCCAGAACGGCTGAACAGATCTAGATGAAATTTGGCACAGAGATAGATTATATTTATCCCAGAAAAATATGCGGTTCCCAAGGGATAGATTTGTTTTTGTTTTTGTAGAGGCGATCCCGAGCGAAGCGAGGGTGAGCCGCTAGTTAAAATAAAATTAAATCAACATGTTATACTGGAAGTTGATATACGAGAAAATCTTACTATTCTCAATAGTAATTATTTAGTAGTAATTCTGTGAAGGGCCCGTAATAATAAATAAATTAACAACGTCTATATGACACGGAGTATCATTAGTTTGGTTGTTTCGGTTAACCGAGCTTTGGATACTTTGGTTGTTATAATTAATAAGGTAAGTAATGGTTGTTAAGATACTTTTAGTTTTTTAACAGATATTTATGAAGTTATTAACTTTATTATTTATTAGTTTTAATTTGTGATTTTAACGTCATGGTTAAGGTTAATTAAATGTCTTTATATTAATGGTTAATACAAAATGTATATGCAGTTTTTAGTTATGAGTAGGTACTTTGATTCTAAAAACATTGAAATGCTAAATAAAGTTAAATTGAAACTTAAATTTTATTCGAAAATTACTAATTTAATGTAATTTTTCGTATTTATTTTTTTATCCATACTAATATTATGAATGTGAAAGTAACTCTGTCTGTCTGTATGTTACCTTTTCACACTTAATCCGCTGAACCGATTTAGATGAAATTTTGTATGGATATAATTTAAGACCCTGGGAAGGATATAGAATTCTATTTATCCCGAAAATCACCGCTTTTATGGGAATCAATCATTTCTCAAAGTATATATTTTTTAATTTTTTAAAGTACTTACCTACTTTTCTATACCTATGTATATACATATATATATATATATATATATATATATATATATATATATATATATATATATATATACTATTCTATACTAACCGTTAAAACGTACCTATAGACGAACCCGAGCGAAGCAAGGGCGAATCGCTAGTTATAATATATAACCCAAAATTTACTATTTAAATAAAGAACTAAAATTATGGAAAATGTTCATCCTAAATCATATGTACATATAACCGAACCAAAAAGTATCTTAATCTCAGTCAACCGAGCCAAAAGTATCTCCGTAACCGAACCATTGATACTAGATACTTATTTATTGACTACAATTTTTTTAATCGCTATGATCTATCAATCGGTCGTCTATACTTTGTTGGAATAACAATAGATACAGCTTCTTTCTTAAACCTCGAACTGTATGGTTTTGAATCGTATTTTGCTGTATTTTGCGATGGTTCATTCGAAAATTGTGTAGGTCGAATTATTTGAACTTTCTCGTTATTTATTACAGTTATTTCCTTCTCTGCATGTCTTTCAGCGCTTGAACGGTAGAATCTTCTGACTGGTGGTGCATTTTCAGCTTCTTTTAGTATTGAAGAGTCGATTTGGTCTAAGTTTTCTAGTTGATCTGTTAGTTTTTCTTGTTTTATATTCCCTGTAGGTTGTATATCTTGCTTTATTATTTCAGATGTTGTTGATGGTTCTTGAGTAGTAGTTGATGTAGTAGTAGTAGTACTAGAAGTGGTTGTAGGTTTTGTTTTAGAATAGTTATTCCTTGAAACCATCCTCCGTCTCTTTCTCTCAGATGAATCAGATTTTTCACTGCTTTTGGTATTATTGAAGTTTATATTTGCGTCCACTTTTACTAATTTATATTCATCGTTAGTTTTGATCGGATTTCTTCTTGTGTTTCTTTTTTCTGTTTCATTATTGTAGTCCCTTGTGCCGCGGTATACTGGTGCCATGTTTGGATAGCTATTGTTTTCGTCGTTATTGTTATTATTAGTGTTATGTCTTTCGTCGATTATAGGTGATGGTGTAACAATGCGAACGTTCTCGCTTGCTGCTGGCTTTGAATCTTGGTTTTCTAGTATTGTTATGGCTTCTTTGATACCGTCTACGTCTTCTGGGTTTGATGGTTGGCCTAAAATGTTTGTTAATTTTAAAATGTTTAATGTAATAATGTATACATATATAGAAATATTATTATAGTTTTGTATTTCTGTTTGTACTTGACACGGGATATTAAATTAGAAAAATAGACAAGCTTTAGAATGGGATTTATTTTTACAATATTCTATAGAATAGTTGATAAAATGTACGGCCTGTTGTGTAGATCCAGAGGTCCTGGGTTTAAGTTCCTGGTCAGGTGAATAATAGATGTTGTATTTTTCTTACATTAAATTATGGATAACTACCCAAAATTGGGCTGTATATTCGGCATAGTGGTGTAAAAGGGACAGAGAGTGCATTTTGTATGCACACATTCCCTCACGCGCTTTCACTGTAATATATCCTGCCTCGGTGGTATAGTGGCTAGCATGTACAGCTACACTTCCGGAGGCCCTGGGTTCGAGTCCCGGATCGGGCCAAGTTCAGTTATTGAGTTTTTCTGTTAAGAAAGTTCCAGTAACAGCACAGAGTTGGGGAGTTGGGGTGTTACATACATGTTTAGATATATGTTTATATATGCTTCACCTGTTACATGCATGTTTTCATATATATTTATATGTTTTATCGTAACTACTCACCATCCTCAGCTTTCTTATAAGACGAGAAGAAAGTTAAAGCCTTCATCAGTTGGTAGCTCTTCGAGACGGGTATGTTGGTGTCGTAGAGTGAGGAAGAGCTGGCACAGTCGACGTAGAACCACCAGTTGCATTTGAGTATCGTTTGGTCGAACAGAGTGGATTCCGGACAAAGGAATGATTTCATAACTAGACCGTCGTCTGTTAGTGCGCACACGTGGAATACCTAAGAATGTGGATAATATTATAGTAAAAGAAGAGAATTTTGAAACTTTATGTAACCCAAAAATGTTTAAGATACTATGTATGAAAGGAACATTAATAACAATGCGATATAGAGTTTTAAGGATGATTTTAACATATTAACTATTTTAACCATAAGAAATGTTTTTTGCCATTATCAAATTGATGACAACCAAATTTCATACACTTAAAACTTTCAAATCGATAATAACTTATATTAAATTAATGTCATAGTTACAAATAAAATAAAATAATAAAATCTTTTCATACAACGGCAATGGAGAAAAAAACTGTGCCGCATCAGTACGCTTCAAGCCAGATTGTATTGGTTGAGCATAGATTTATATTGGTTGGTCGGGATTTATAGAGGTTGGCTAGTCTCAATGAGATTGGCTGCCGTGGCCGGAATCGGTAAAGAGAACATTATTATAAATGCGAAAGTTTGTGTGTATGTTTGTTACATCTGAAACTCACTCCACGCTAAGATAGTTGGGCAGATTTGGATGAAATGTAGTACTCATACTTGGAGTAATACATATCACTTACTACACACATAGAGAATCACATAAGCAATAAGAGAAGTGTTAGTTGTATAATAAAACCAAATAAATCATACCATACAACCCAGGCTCTCATCTCCATACAGTCCTGGGAAGTACTTCTGATCTCCACAATGGAAGCTGGTGTCTGGAAGATCCACTTTAGATTGGAAATGATCATCGAAATTCTTCTCATAGCCAACTGGGTAGTACTCTCGTGGGGCGTTCATTACTTTACCTGATGTTGGGTTTCTGGAAAAATATAACAATAAGGTTTAAAGCTTATAAGATATACTTGATTACATTTTTCATCATCATAGTTCACTTTAGAAATTATGTAGTCTATTCCACGCGTCCAACTCACAAACCAAATTTTTATTTTTATTTCTAATTTGTATTATTTATACCTATATATTTTTTTAATATTTTATATCTGGTATGTACCTGATCTGGTATGAGTGAAGACTTACCTTATTTTCAATTTACCCTAGAAATTTTTTTTTGTTTGTGCTAATCTCTAGAAACATTAACAGGCGTAAAAAATGTCGCTTTTTAAAACAGCTTAACTGTTTTTGTTATATATATAAATCGGTGCCAGCCGACAATATTTTAAGATATGAATATCTAATAGGTGAATATGTGTTTTACGTATTGAAATATATTAGATTTGCTTTACTTCGGCTGGCACCGACTTCGAAAATATCTGATTAGGTATCTATTCTAAATGAAAACCCCCGTTTAGTTATTTTTTACATTTTAGTGCCTGGAAGTTGTTTTTTTTTAAGTTTTTATCTGTCCATTTTCAGTGTAGGCGTAATAAGCAGGTAATTTGTTAGAAGAAAGTTTATTAATAATATGTTCGATTAAGCATTTATTTAAAAAAATAATTTATTTGTTGATTTAAAAAAAACCGCTTGACCGATTTCGATAAAATTTATATGGGACCACCTGGGAAGTATACCCTTTAAAACAAAAAAAATGTCCCAAATCGGTTCAGGCGTCTTCGAGTAAACGGTGAACATACATTAAAAAAAAGATTCCGACGAATTGAGAACCTCCCCCTTTTTGGAAGTCGGTTAAAAAGCTAAAACAAACTAGCATTAAGTGATTCTATAAGGATTCATCGTAACATCAAATAAGTGATTTCTTAAAGCGAAAAACGTACCTTTTTGGCTTTTGTGGCTTTTGTGGCACTGGAGCCACTATAATCTCTGGCTCTGGCTCTAACTGGAACACCGATTCAGTAGTTGTTGTAGTGGTCGTTGTAGTTGTTGTGGGAATATTGGCATATTTGCTTAGTAATTGCTGTTGTCTTAAGGCTATTGCTGCTTCAACAGCCTCCATTGATATGTTCCCTGCTTTAGCTATTTCTGCTATCTTTGCATTGATATCTTCCTTGTTAAACTGAAGTGTGACGTCATCACTGTAACCACTTATTGTGTTGTAATCATCATTCTTCTTCGTATTACCGTAAACCGCTAAATCGTGCACTTGATGGGGGATTGTATCTAAAAATTGGTTGGAGGGGTTAGTGTGTTTTATAACGGGTGCTGGTATGATGGAAATGGCTTGAGATGGCATAGGAACAAATGGGTTAAGCTTAGATGGGTGATTGTTATATTGTGAAGCGGTCATGCGTGATACCATGTGTGATATGTTGTCGGATGATTTCTCACTTGGGTATCCTTTGGATTGCGCTTGCGATGCAAGTGGAAGGACTTTCAGAGTTTCTTCTTTTGGAGGAAGAGGTTTGAAAGGAGGGACACCCATTGGCATAGGTTTTGCCATGGTGATTGCTGGTTTGAATTTAGTGTCTACGATGGTAGGATTAGGCATGGTAGAAACTCTGTGCAAAGAAGAGAGTTTATCCATAGCCGCTGGATTAGGACGACCTATGGTTGGCATCGGTCTCATCATGATACGGTTTTGTTTTGCACGTTTCTGAAAATTGAAATGAAATGAGATAAATGGATGTTTTTTTAGAATATGTATTTAGATGTTAATTTGACTTTTACCATAAGAATTAATTTAAAAAAAAGAAAATGTGAAGAGTTGTATGCTATGATCGACGGAAGGGCTGACAGGGTTTGTTTTGAGTGTCCATTTATCCATTGGTAATACGATACATACATGATATTTATTATCAAACTCATCATATATTATCAATTGGTAATCAAACAAAAGGTTATCAAAAACACATGTACCGTTCTGAAGATAGTAAGATTTTCTTCTTAAGACGATATATCTAATCACCAAATCTATACATGTAAACAAATATTGCTCAAATAGGAAAACTAATGTTTTTAATAATTTCGTATAGACATACATAAATATGTAAATTAATTCGTGTTATGACACTTACCTCTTGCTTAGCACCTGGCCTAGTAGCAGTGTCGACGAGAATATTAGGCGCTCCATTCTTAACACTAACAGATCTTCTTCTGCTAGGATCCTGGTTTGTTAGAGATTGCTCGAATCCAAGCTCGTCTCCGAGACTGAAACCTGAAAATATGAAAGGAAAAATTATAAAAAAAATGTCTATAATAATAAAGTAAAATAATAATTTATTTGTCATAGACAAAAAACTCGATTGAATGTATTCGTACATTACCGCATATTGCTTGCTCTGTTACTATTTTTATAATTAGAGTAAACACGGATTCAGAAAAAACCGGAATACTGCACTAAAACTTATAAAAAGTTTTAAAATTTTTACGGGTACTGAGATATTGATAAAGGAGGACCTGGAAACTGGATGATATGAAAGATTTAAAAAAGAATATTTGAACTTCTTTACATATAATTCAAATAGTGGACAGTGAACATAAAGAAATAACCTTCGTCAGAAATCTTTCCCTTTACTTCTAAACAGTCATCATATTTACAGCATCCGTAACACAATCATTTTAAATCATCTCATTAAACGCTTCTTTATATGGTTATTCAATTGGACAAATTGAGTTGCGTATATTATTGCTTAAATCTTTAAAAACATTACAAAATGATTCTTTAAATTAGAAAGTATGATTATTATTTTGTATAACTAAATTGATCATTTAATTTCGTTCACTAAAAATATACTTAAGTACATTGCGTACTAAAGGCAGTGGTAGCCCAGTGGTAACGCGGCACCTCTGATATTTTCATGTGCGAATCTTTTCCTACATGATTGCCACTTGTCTTAACGGTGAAGGAAAACATCGTGAGGAAACCTGCATGTCTGAGAGAACCTAGCAAGTTCTCAAAAGACGTGTGAAGTCCGCCAATCCGCACTTGGCCAGCGTGGTGGACTATGGCCTGATTCCCCTCGTACTGTAGGTAGGCCCGTGCCCAGCAGTAGGACGTTAAAAAAAAAGGGCTGAATACATACATTGCTTATCAAAAACTAATATGTATGTGAAGGTTTTTTTTTTAAATAGCAAGTTATTTGTGCCAATTCATAGAATAAAAATGTTTACAATCATAATCAGATGTACACTAATTAGCAATGATGAATTATAATTTTATTACGAAAATTAAGCAATTACAAAAGATTACCAAACATTACCTTAAAGCTATGATTTAGCGGTAATAAATCATTGCCCTTAATTTGTTTATGTAACAAAGGTCGTGCTTATTTATCAAACATACTTCAAAGTGTTTATAAATCACTTCAGAACATAGAAATATTTGTATGAATATATTAAAATAACCATACCATAAGGATATAGCTTAATACCAAAATTACATATAACAAATTGAAAAAATATCACGTAGTTCTCGTCTTGCTATAAATTTAACTATACAACTTACATTTTTTTTTTAGTTCCACGCTTTTCTCATTAAAAAGTAGTACAAAAATATTTTCAGTTGCACTATCTATTTTTAGGCGACACTTGTTATTTTATCCTAATCTTACAACTTTCAAGTCATTATAGCCAAAATATCTTTGGATTTTTATATGTGTACAAGCGATTTGCTCGGCTGCGTTCCTTGGGTTCTAGCACTTGCCTATATGTTACTTCAGGTCATGCATGAATAGTCTATCTATATACTAAGTTTCATCCAAATTCATACAGCCGTTTCAAAGAGTAACAAAACCCACGTATTTGTCGTCATCATCATCATCATCATCGTATCGCAAATACGTGTGTTTTGTTACTTGCGAATTTTGTTATATAACAAAAAAACTATAATTTTTTATAATTGTCTACATGGAAGGCCAGTACTAATTGAGCACTAAATTAATGCTAGATTAATTTGACACTGTGTTATTCGGTGGGCGTATTAGGTGGCAACACTGCTAGATTAACTAAAAGCTAGCAGTTTTCTAATTATCTGTCAAAATATATGTACATATACACACATACAAACTTACGCAATTAAAATAATAATGCAATGTGAAATGGACTTTAGTGTTTGTATAATATAGGTTTAAATGAAGGAACTTACCTAAACTAGCGTGAGCTTTTAATCCTCCAAGGTTCCGCACCCTGAACAATCCAGACTTTTTGAAAGCACAATTTATTTTGAACCCAAAATCTGACTCAAGAACACACAATGGCTGCACGATGTCTGTAATAAAAAAAAGTTTATAAATAATACGTATAATATATATCACACAGTAATTATAGTTTAAATGTACCGAATAGTTTTCAGGCGGCGCGATCGTGAAAGCAAAAAAGAAGTCGTGAGACGAATTTCTATAAAAAACTTACATTTCTGATATATCTACAAAAATATGACATAATGCAAACTATACAAAAAAAATATTTTAATAAACATAATATATTATTAGACTGATGACGGCGACCAATTTCTGTCGCTAACTGCGCAGAAAATATTATAGTGCACAGGTGTTCGCGCAGACACAAGTGCACTCCCTATTCCATTCACTCTCGAGTTACGTTATGAAGCACAAGGGTGAAACACCGCAAACCTGTCAACTCCGGGCTGTTACTAGGATTTTCCTAACAGTATGACTCAATAACTAAATTTGGCTCAACCCGAGACTCGAACTCAAAACCTCCGGATGTGCACGTGTACATGCAAGCCACTACACCACCGAGGCAACACATAATATAATAACATATGTATGCTACATATTGTATTGATCAAGCATAAATCCTTCAACTGTGATTATATTTTATATTTTTACATTTTTTTATTATTGTGCTATATAGAAGCAAGAAAAAATTAATAATTAAGAAGATGATGCTGAAAAAAAGATCGGTTTCTGCCATTTTTTATTGTTACAACTCAAGTTCTGTATATTATATATTTTAATTCTTATTTTTAAAATACTATATATTAAGATATATTAGATATATATTAAGATATATAAGAACTTTTTACTATATTTAATAAATTTTATGTTCATATATTAAAAAATGCTATTCTTTCATATAGTATATTTTAGTTTCCCTATCTCATTCTTAACTCTTAATAATACGCTAACCTTGAACATTACAAAAAATAGTATAATAAATACAAGGGTAAAATACTATTAACCTTCAAACCCTTTATCTAATTATTCATTCAATTAACTATTGTGTTCCGTTCCACGTTGCGAAAGTCCAGGATCTAAGCGAGTCGACCTAGATTTCACCTCGTCCTGCGTATTGCCACACCTACGATCTGACGTATTTGATGTTAATTCGATTGTAGTCGCGTAAATAAGTGTAGCATCACAAATTCTTATACCACTTCATAATATGCAAGTATTGTTTAAATAACTTATTATGTAGAAAGATGAAAGTATTTTTTTTATTTATATAGAGGTATTTAAAATGTTATAATTATTTGCTTTTATATAACATGCATGAATGAAGTGAATGAAATGTCACAAGTCTTCCGGTATAGCTTTAAACGTTCGAGTTGATTTAATTGAGTTGAACATACAGATAAACATACATAAAACATACATATATTTTTATTATGTAGCTACCGCTGGAAGCAGATTGGCTAATATTTAAACGGTTTTTTTTAATCTATCTATTTCTATTATGACATTAAAAAGCTGGGGCAGTGTTTAAAAAAAGTATTCTCGTATGACATAATGATAGCCACGTGGAGCCGGAACAACTGCTAGTTTTTCTATACGTAATATATGATTCATATAGAGATCGTCACTTTCCCCGGTCAACGTCCTGGCTGGTCAAGAGGCAAATATGTTGTGTATCAACGACCGGTCGCTGCCGGATCCGTGGAGAAAGGTTCCACTTACTAGGTTAGTACACTCTATAAAACAACATAACAAAAGTGTTTCTATTTTTAATTTTTATATATATTTAAGAAGTGCTTTTATTTTATAATATAACTTATTCATACTTAGAATAATATAATATTGATATCATTCACTTATATTTTATTATTAATTTATTTCTATAAAGTGATATTACTTAATTTATTTAAGTTAATATATGTGAATAAAATGAAATTAGCAAAGTAAAATTTTATTTTATTAATTTTAAGACTCCATTTTTTGCTGACCCTACTACATAATACATTGCAAATTTAACACACTTGTATGTCACGTCTGACAATGATCTAAAACCTAATTCACCTGTGTATTGCGAATGTTTCTTTTTTTTTATTTAATTAAATAATAAATATTGCTACGACCTCACTTTGCTAGTCCTTCTTTTTTGTTGCTCTCGTACATACTTTACTATTAAATAAAATTACCTTGTACTAACATTATCTTTCTTAATAATTATTATTATTATTTATTCAATTGTGCTGAAAGTTTTATTTGGTTTTTATGGAAGCGTTTATGTAGCTTAACGTATATATATATATATATATATAGTTAATAAAAAATATATATAATGTACATATGTATATGTATAGTCTATCTATTCTTAATAAGTGTATACTTGAAATAAATTATTTGATTTTTATCAATTACAATGTAAAAAGCAGTCTGTATCATAAATAATTGCTATAGCATTGCTATAAATTCATACATCAATCAAAAACACCGCTATGATCCCTGTAAAACGAGTATCTGTTTCTATACTTTGTTTTGTATTCTGCAAACATTGCCAAATGTCCTCTAAAATTTAAGTATATACTCGTGTAACGTTACGATAGATAATATTACAAAATTTAACATAAACTTGTATATTTAACTAGGACTCCTAAATACGTTTTGCAATGAAATTAGTCGTTAAACACAAAAGATGTATGTACAAATTATCATTTTGATCATATTAAAAGTGTATTGCATAGTTTTATTATTTAAAACAAATATAAAAAAAGTAGAATAAGAAATCTTGAATAATAAATAATAATAAAATTTTAACTAAGGCGAATCTGCACATTAATTATTTTTTGGAAAATCTTATTGAAATATACATTATTATCGATACAGAGGCCGAATCTATAGTTTTTAGAATTTTAATCTGTCTGTCTATTACCGTATCACAGGAAAACCACTGGAGGGATTTTAATGAAATTTGGTATGATGATAGCTGGTTATCCGGGTCAACATAAAGGATACTTTTTACCGCGGGAAAATGTCTCATTTTTGAGAAAAAATACAAAAACTGCAATGTAAGAGTATACTAATATTTAAAACCTAAAAATTTGGTTTTTGGTCATCTGAACGCGGGTGCAGCCGCGGGCGCAGTTAGTCTTAAATAAATAAATAAATATAAAATAATTCAATATAATGTAATAAATATTTCAAAATAGGTACAGTCGTAAATCGATGTTTCCAAACGAGATAGTTCAAACGTTACAATAACATCCTGATAGAGACGCAATATGTGATTCAAAAAATTACCTCCATTGACCATGCGTATGAGCATAAAAGCTTATTACGCAATATTGTTTGAATCTTTACTAGTTTCCAAATAGCTTTAGAGTTCTGTATTAAGTGGGTCCAGACAAAAGATCTGCTGATAACGCTGTCGATCTCTGTTTGTTTGTCTGTGTACACATATCAAAACAATGTTATTTTAAATGAAATTTTAATATTAAATAAATAAATATGTTGGGACATTAACACACACCACCTAGTTCCATGGTAAGCTACGAGGCTTGTGTTATGGATACCAGATAGTTGATACACTACACATGTATAACTTTAAATACATACATATTATAAATATAAATATAAACATCCATGACTAGAGCATAAACATTCTTGCTCGTCACACAAATGAATGCCGCCCAGCGGTACTCGAATCTGCGGCCGCTGGCATAGTAAGTAGGGTCACTAACTAAATTAAACTGAGCGAAACGTGTCGTCATCAACAATCGATCAATTTTATCTAAACATATAATAAGAAAACAAGGCGATCTCTGTACATGAAATATTTTTTAAAAACAATGAGTGTTACGTGATGTGTACATAGACCCTTAAACAAATAGTTGTTGAAATATTTGTCTGTTCATCTGAACATTTGTGTCCATTTCACACAAATGTACCAAATGGAGTTTAACTAAATATTGAGTAATAATTGTTTATTACTCGGGTCAACATTTACCATTTTGATACGGTTTTCTCTAACAGAAAGATAAACAGTAAACGAGGAAGGTTTATGTATATAATTTATAAATATTTTGGACAAAATGGCTGAATTATGATGGTGTTTTGTCTAAAACACTGTTCTTGTGCGCTAACATGGCTAACGCTGGCTACACATTAAGAGATACGTCAAAACAATGTACTAGAATATTGTAGACCTCTTTAAGGCCTATAAAAGAGTTTGCGATGGCAGGTGTCTATATCCTAAGGTACATTAACATCTTTATATATTTAAAACGTACCTAAGGACCTGCCAAATAACATGTATAAAAATACCAAAAACATATATCAAGCTAAAACTACAATACGACACGGTAATCGTGTCGTAATCGTTAATAGTAAAACTACATCGTATCACGTCATAACCGAGCAAATTGGCGTAAAATCGGCTACTACGAGTACGCCCAATCGCTTCTCCGCATTGTTCTGTCATCCACTTAGAGGAAAAGTGATTTGCTATAAGAAATTAGATAGCGATCGCGTTTATACGAGTGATTTACTAATCGCGATACCGTTTTCTATCGCACGCCTATTGTTTGTTGTGACTGATTTCTCAGTCAACAATGCAATCATAGAGATATTTTAATTAACTTATTTGTTTTATTTCCGATACTTATTAATATTGTTAATATTTTTTTTATAAATAGAAATTTTGTTGTTATTTTCCGGTACTGAAATAAGTTAGTGGATTCTATTTAAGTTAATAAGTTATGACATCGTATGGTTAAAAGCACATATTACCAAATAATATTTACTAAAATATAAATTAAATTAATAATTATCAGCTTACTTGCTGTTTAGCTATAATTTAATAGAGATAGCGATATACTAGTCAAAATAGCTTAACCTATAGATTAAGCTATATCAGCAAATTGTATTTTCATAGGAATAAGGAGTCCACTAAGAAAAAATTTTGGAAATCATCCCCTGAAGGAGTAAAAAATACTTTGAAGTTTGTATGATAATCCGTTATATACTTTTGAAATACGCAGACAAAGCTGCGGGTAAATGCTAGTAATCTTTTATAATGCAACTCATTTGAAGATTTCGCAATAAGCTGTTAAACACGAGGAACATTAAACCGATTTGCATATCTTGCATCTTATTTAATAGAACGTGGCAGGTCACTTTCCATTTCGCATGAGAAAGTGACTGTTACGCATGGTCAGCTGATAACGATGTTTATCACAATGACGTGAAAAATTGCTAGCTATGATATACCTACCTGGTAATAAATACTTGGGTTGTAATAAATTCTTATATATTATATTTCATTTATTTATATCTAACTAGAAATACGGAAGATTTGTAATATGATAATTATACACCATTTAGTACCGTTATTAACAAGAAATAACTTGTTGCAGCTCAAAATGTAAAGTTCTCCGGCAAAGTGTATTTTGTTGTTTTTTTTTGTTTTACTCTACCGCAAAAATGAATGAAGGCAGTGGTAGCCCAGTGGTAACGCGTTTGCTTGGAAAACCAAGTGAAGCAACTTCAAATTCCGGGTCTTGGAACACTGATATTATTTTCCTATGTGAACCATTTTCAATATGATTACCACTTATCTTACGGTAACGCAAAACATTATGAGGAAGCATGAATGTGTGAGAGAACTAAGAAAAATATGCTCAGTCCGCCAACCCGCACTTGGGGAGCGTGGTGGACTATGCTCTCGCATTAAAGGGAGAACCCGTGCCCAGCAGTGGGACGTTAAAAATGGCTGGTTAAAATGTCTCTAATTACTAAAATATTTTAAACGATGAAAATTGCAAAAACTAATTGCAAATATGATTATATGCAAATAAATAAATTATGCATAATAAATAAATGCAGAATACAGAATTGGACGTTACCAACTTTGGTAACATTCATTTAAAATAGTTTAGCATTCATTCGCTAATTACCTGAGAACTCTTCTCTAAAGATGGTTATTTAATTTGCATAAAATTTCTACCATTCTTTATATTAAGAGGACTTTCGGAGCAATAATCAAAATGTGTGTATGTGTATATGTTTATTACTGCTTCACGATTAAAGCTGCAGCAAGCTGGATGGATTTGGATGAAATTTATACAAAAAAAAAAACCAAAAAACCCATAGGTAACTACTACGTACCTAATGATGTACTCAAGCAAACCATAGGTAAGTCGCTAGTATTATAATATATAAGATCGCTAGGCTAGTGATAGTACATTCAACTGAAGCAATGAAACGATAATCGTTTTGTGATGATGTTTTGTTACGCAATCTATGTTACAATTTCTTTACTCTACGAATAGAGACATTCATATTATATGAAATAGTATAATTTTTTACGCTCTATTTGTCTTGATTACTTGTGAAGGGTATGGATTATTATTTATCGATTAAACTATTAAGAGTATTTTATTGCAAAATATTTGTTTATAATAATCTAAATTAGTATTAAATGCTAGTTAATGCTATATTTCAATGGAGTTAGAACAGCAAATTTTACTATCGATCAGGATTATTAATACTTGACCTGAAAAATAAACATAAAATGTCGACATAAATATTTCTATACTAATCAAAACTAATACTTAGTCGATTCTACATGTTGTAATTAAATTATACTAAATAAGTTAGTAATCAAAAATCCTTTTTTGAAAAATACTTATAATTAAACCTTTATACTTTAGATAAGATCAAACTATCCGTTAAAAACATCCGATAAACATTTTTACGAACAATTTTTCTACAGTATACTCATAGATATATTTGTGATTTTATTTTCAAATTTAAAGAACGATCAAATCCGCAATATTTACAGAATTAGAAGTAAATAGTAAATTTAAGTTTTCAGTTACATATACACACACATACTATATTTTTATTATAAACAGCACAATTATATATAAATTAGGTCACCAGTTAAAACAGTACATTACTGATTACTCGTAGTTAAAGCAAGGATTTAACGCTAAGGTATTACCAAAGAATAACTCACGTTTAAGCTATAAATGTATTTAAAATACAACAACGATCGTTTTGACCTAATGCACTTTTGTCTGATTTGTAATTTGCGATATTGTATCGACTCGACGAAAAATTTCGTAAGAACTAATATTACAAAGATGTAAGTACAAATGGACTTTTTACGTTTTAAATAATAAATATAGCAAATATATTTTCATATATTT